TCAGGGCGGCTTCGCGCAGCCGGTGGCGGCGCTCGAGCCGAGCCGGCGCAGGGCCACCGGCGGGCGCTTAGGGCGATGAGGCGGGTGGGCGCGGTGGCGGGGCGCCAGGCGGCCAGCTCGCCAAGGCCGGGGTCCGGCGCCCGCGCGCCGTTCGCGCCGCCGCCTCGGGCAGCGACGTCCTCCGAGTCGGTGCGCAGGGTTTCGTCGTCGGGTCGTCTCGTCGGTCGTCCTCGTCGTCGTGTCGCTCGTCGGTCTGCCTCGTTGCCTCGGTGTCCTCGCCCCCCTCTCCGCCAGCTCCAGGGCTCCTCCTCTGTCCTCTGCGAGGACTCCCAGCGGCGGGCGGCGGCAGGCGCTCGTCGCCGCGGCGGCAGGCGTCGGGCGGGCCGGGGTCGCTCCGCGTCGCCCAGCGCCAGCCCAGACGCGGGCGGACCGAGCTGCAGGAAGTAGCACGAGCCCGGCTCCGGCTTTCCCAACGACAGGGCAGAGCCCCGCGCCCCGCCGGTGCTTCCGGACCCCGAGTCCGTCTCAGGACAGAGGCGGGGACCCCTCTGGTGCTCCGCGGCCGAGGACACAGGCGGCGGCGGCGGCCCTGCTCTAGGGAGGCCGGGTCTCTTCAGGGAAACAGAAGGTGCTCTTGTCCCGGGGTAGGGAACCGAGGAGCAGGGGTCCCGGGCGAATGGGGCGCAGCTCCCGGCCGGCCGCTGTCCCGGCGCCCCTCCCCGCGGCCGCTGCGGCCCCGCGACCATTGCTCAGGACTGGGACGGGCGCTGGGGGCCACCGGGACCCCCAAACCGCGCCACCAGGGCGGGGTGGCTCCTGGAGCCGCTGGCGGGGCCTCCCTCATGCAGCTAGGATCCTCCCCCCTGCCCAGGGGGAGACGGGCAGAAGGCGTTCAGCACGGGTGACACTACAGGGACCGTGGAGGAAGCCTCATGGGAGTAGCAACCGCGGAGCTCCAGCTCAGCCCCACCCCAGGGCCCGGCTGCTCCCCCAAGCCTGGGTCGGGTCTGTTTGGTGACTCCCTGGCCCCAGCCTCCGCCCCAGGGAAACCGAGGCTGCGTCCAAAACCCAGAGCAGTCCGCTGGGGGCCGGGGCAGGGTCTCGGCCACCCTGGCGGTGCAAACAGGAAAGATGCGCCTGGTTTTGGCTTTAATATTCAAAATGGAAAAAAATACAAGAAAGTTGTACAGTATTTTTCCTGTAAAGGTTATTATTCTACATAGAACAAAAAGGAAGAAAGCAGGCGTGGTGAGAGTGCAGACCCGCCTGGGCCCGGCCTGAGGTTGGAGGCTTAGTCCCGTTTCTCCTGTGGGATTTGGTCCAGCGTTTTTTGTAGAGGCCTTAACAGTTTGAGGCTGTCTGTCTTCACACTAGCACTGATGGGAGCTGCGTGATTCCAACTCTTAACTTGAATTTTGTAGAGACAAGAAAAAAGGACTATTACTGTTGATCCAAGTTTGTAGTTAATTTAACATTTGAGTTCTCTCTTGGTGATGCGTGTGGCTTTATAGGGCTTTTTTTTTTTTTTTTTTTTTTTTTTCTCCAGTTTGTTTTATTACTTTGTTTGGGATGCTTCTTTGCCGGTGCAGTCTACCCAGATTGGGTTCCCTTTGCAAAACATCCCCCTTCCTGGAGATGATGAGGCCATGGAAGCCCCGGCCAGGGCCTGACCTGGCAGGCACACACCTGGCCGGTGGCTCTGAGGTCCCCGGGGACCAAGTCCCCTGCAAGGGCAGGCTGCCCGAGGCCACACCTGCCCACCTTCCCTACTCCAGGCCACCAGGCTGGTGTCAGATTGGGCCACAGGGAGAAAACAGGCCTAGGAGGGAATGGAAGGCTGGTGGGGAGGCTGTCACCCAGACGCCTTCTCCCCAGAGGTCTCCAGGGGGAGCCTGGCTCAACTGGGGGGCAGTGGTTTACTTTTCCCTTTTTTCTTCCTTTCTTTTGTCCTCTTGGCTGCCCACAGCCAGAAAGCCAGGACCACCCGAACTGGACAGGGAGCAGGGAGGGAGGAGTGGTCGCACGGAGCGTACCTGATTCAACAGGAAATCAGTTGTTTTCTAAAACAGCCCCTACCAGAGCCTTCTGAACTCTGTGGGTACCACATGCTGCTGTGAGCATCTGCCCAGACAGTGACCCGCCACGGCCCGGGAGTCTGTGGAAGGAGTTTTGTAAAGGAAAAAAATACACACACAAAAAAACGTTTTTTTCAATGTAGCAAAATCAAACTTAAAAAAAAAGAAGAAGAAGAAAAGAAGATGCCGACAGTGCGGAGTCTAGCCTTTTGTAACCTTCATATTGCACATTAGGACTACAAGCCATTGCTAGCTCATTTTGAATTTTAACGTGTAATTTTTGTTTTATTTTCTTTCTGTGGGGAAAACAATGCTTGATCCACCAATGCTCTTTTTAATGTTTTATAACTATGTATGTGTATATATATAAATATAAAATAATATGTATGCACATATGTGTGTGTATATATCTATATGTATATACATATATAGATATATAGAGATATATAGAGAGGTTTTGAGACAAAAAAAATGCAGAACGTGAAACCCGAACTGAACAGCGTGTGCTCTGATTACTTGAATCTGGTCTCCTCGGCACCTGGTTATTAAGAACTGAATATTTTTCCACTTGAATTTAGTGCTATTAGAAATTTAATATATGTGTTTTATTTATTTGATTTTTTTTTTTTTTTTGCATGACTGATGCAAGGTTTGACATTTTCACTCAATAAAAACTGGAAAAAAAATCTATCAAGTTATCTTTTATTTTTAAAATCGCCCCCAAGCGGCTGGCCATGACTCAGCTACACCAGTGGGGTGAGGGGAGGAAGAGTTGGGTGCCATTCGACCCTGGCAGGAAAAGAGGGGGAACAGACCAGTTTTGTCCCTGGGCTGCTGGGGACAGAGGTAGGGGCCTCAATCCTGGCCTGGCCAGAAGGGTGGCCTCCTCCCCAGTCCTGCCTGAAGCCCCCACTTGGGGCTCAGGAGCCACCTTTGGGCAGAGCCATCTGACATCAAGGCCTGGGACATTGGACAAAGGCTCTGCAGCCTCCCAGGACCCCCCACCCCAGCCAACCCTCTCCTCTCCTGCTGGGCTGCTGGGCCGGCGTTGGCAGGGCCACCCTCCTGCCTCCTCCCTCGGCTCCTTCCTCCTTCCTGCAGGGACCTGCCCGGGCTGGGAACGGCGCGTACCCGGATCCAATCCGGATGCTGGCGCGGCTCCTGCCTGGAGCACAGGGTGGCAGAGCCAGAGGGGGCCGATAATTCCTGGGTCTGTAGCCATCAGCCCAGAGCCTGAGCTGCCAGCCCTGGTGGCACCATGGTTGGCTCCCTTGGAAGCACGGAGGCCAGAGTGTCCACCAGGCCTAGCCTGGAGTGCAAGCCTCCCAGGCACTGTAGGAGTTTGCCCTGACACTTCCAACTGATGGCCGGCTTCTCGTGACACCACATCATGGGAAGGACCTTGGCAGCCCTGCTCTGAGCCAGACTCCAGGTGGCCGGGGCTTCCTGGAACCTTGGGGAGGGGATGTGCGCGGGATCTGCCACATTCTTCCATGCTGAGGAGTCTTACTGGCTCATCACACCCCCGCCATGGGATGTCACAAGCACTTGCCCGACGAGGAAACAGGCAGACATGGGGGCTGGAAAGGTTCGGTCACCGCAGCATGCTTCTCCCTCACTGAGCCTGGCACCAGCCGGCCAGGCACCAGGGACCGGGGGCGGCAGGGGAGTGGCCTCAGCCCACAGCGCCCAGGTCCGTGTCATTTTCCACCGCAGAAGTGCGTCTCCAGCCCAGCCGCGGCGCGCGGGCACTCCCTTTCTTCTTTCCTCCTGGAACGCAGCCCACAGGCTATTTACATAAATATGTTTGTAACAGACATGAAAATATATACTTTTTTCTGTCTTATTAAAATGTTCAAGTTGGAACTCGCCTATTGTTTGTGGATATCTTGATTCTGTTAAATAAAACAGTGACTAATTTATGGGATAAAACACAAGTTCAACAAATTAAAACCATTATTGGAGCTTCCCAGGCCCTGGTGGGCCTCCCGTGGGGCCTGAAGCGAGGCAGGGAGCCAAGCCCTGAACAGCCGGTGGGTGGGTGGTGTGGCCACAAGGCTCCCTCTAGGCACCGGCACAGTGGGCAGCTCTCTGGGGCAGCACCGACTCCTGGGGCCCAGGGGAGGGAGGATGGGGACTCAGGGCGGTTTGCCGACCTTGGCCAGACCCCAAAACTGCCCCCTGGTCTTCTGGGCCTGGATGGACCTCGGAAGGCCTCACCCAGGGCTGATCCAACCTCACAACAAGTAGGGCCCTGAGTCCAGCCCAAGGAAGGGGCATGGGGACTCAGGAATCTCTCAGAGGCATCTCAGGGCCTCAGGACGGAGCACTCAGGCCAGCCTGTGGTGCCACATCCCAGGTCCCGCCCCAGAGGGTGGAGAGAAGCTCATACCCCCACTAGGCATGTGCCCACTCTTGAGACCGCCCCCAAGAGCTGGGAGGGGGCCTGTGGCTGCGGGTCGGGATGGGCCCAGGTCCCACGGCACTCCCTGTGCCTTGTTGGACTCAGTAGGAAATGCAGTAAAGCATGTTTTTCTTCTGGGATTTAATCAGCTGTGGTGTGTGATGCTCCTACACCCAAACTGGGGCAAATTCAAGAGTTTTGCAACCTCTTGGAAAGGGCCAGAACCCGCCACACAGGCTCAGGGCTGAGCTCAGGGGCCTGCCCACCTCCCACGGACCTGGCCCAGCAGGGGCGCCACCAGCAACCTGAGTCACCCGTGTGCACCGGGCCTTGGCACTCATGAAGCGGCCTTGCCCCAGCCTGGACACGGCGACAGGCAGCCCCCTTTCTGGGCAGCATACCAGGCCACTGGGCAAAGGCCAGCTGCCCATCCACTGTCACGGGAGGTGGCCCCGGCCCCAGAGGCAGCAGTGGCCTCTGAAAGGCTGGAATTCCAGAGCCTTGTCTGAGAATGAAGCAGCCAGGCCCCGGCCATCCTTGCTGGGAGGTGCCTCTGCACCCTCTGGAGCAGGTCAGGGAGGAATCAGTGGCTCCCAGGAGGCCCACAGCCAGCGCTGGAGCAGCCGGACCCAGTGGCTTGGCCTCCAGTAAGCCCCGTGCCCCGCACCACTGGAAGGAGGCAGGGATCCTCAAGAAAGAACCTCCCTGCCTGGAGTCTCCCTGAGGCTGGCTCCTCGCCCCGGGTCTATAACGCATCTGGACCCCGAGTGTCACAGTGGTGTTTAAAGCCATGACCCACTCACTTTAAAGAAGGTCCTTCCAGTATCTGTCGTGGAGCAAGGAAAGGTTTCAGGCATCCCTCTCATGAACATATCACACATCTTCTTTCTTCTTCTAGGAGAACACAAACTTTAACGTGCTCAATGACAGTAAGTTATTAAGGTTTACTCATGATTCAGGTAGTCATCCCTCAGTGCCAGGCAAGATTTCAGACCTGTTTTGCATTAAAGACAGTGCCAAGGCTGTGGTCTGAGTGGTGGTCTGCGTGGGCAGGTGTCAGGGGAGGACAGGGGGACCTCTCCAAAAGGATCAGGACCCACTGGGCCCTGCGTGAGTGTGAGGGTGCCACACACATGTGCACATGCATGTCAGCATGTGCCAGCTTGGGCGTGGCTCCCCCTGGCCAGGCGGTGGCCTGTCCCTGGGTGGGAAGCCCCTGTACACAGCAAAGGAGCAGGGGCAGGAAGAGCAGCCAGGCCCTCCAGGTCTACCTGGGTGCTACACCTCAGGTGTGCACCTCATCTGAGGCTGGAGCTCCCACCTGCACGCGGGTCTCATTGGCGCCTTCGCGCCTGCCCTGTCTGGAGTCTCTGACCTCTTCTTTGGGTGCCTTGGCAGAAACCAGTTTAAACAAACAGACAAATCAAGTGAAATCCTGGGGAAGGAGATGTCTGAGCCTTGAAGAACGGCCCCTGCTTGCTCCCCCCTCCCTCCTGGGCTCTGGGGCAGGGACAGGGTGGTCACCTGGAGAGGGAGGGGTCTGGGGCCAGGCCAGAGACCCAGCGCCTCCATGCTCCTGGCTGGGCCACCAGGAGGGCGGAAGCGAAACCTTCTAGAAAACTCTTCCACCTCTACCTGGGTGTGAGGGCCCCGAAAGATGAACACAGCTTGCTCAGATGCGTTTATTAAAAACAAAGAAAAAGAAAGAGGGAAAGAGACTCTGGGCACACAGGGAGCCGATGGGTGGGTGGCACATTCTCACATCTCTGTCCCCTTCTCTGTGGATCGGCCTTGCTACACACCCCACCTGCGGGCACAAACTCAGCAGCCCCTTCCCCTGACCCAGGTGCTCCCTGTCCCAGTTGGGGTCCTGGGATGGGACTGGCTCCAGGAGCCCTGGCTTTTGAAGGACTGAGCAGCCCCAGGGGGGCAGAGGCCCTACCATCTCCCGAAGGCAACTACCCCGCCTCCTGGCCTGCTCCTGCGTGTCGCAAACACCAAGGGAAGCCCCCTGTCCTTCCCAAACTACATGTCCCTGCCCAAGGCAGAACCAGCGAGTCACCGGAGGAGCAGGGACAGACCCTGGGGACCGAGGCAGCTGCTCCAGGGTGAGGTCAGGGCAGCCGTCCCCTGGCCTCCAAGCACGGGGCTGGTTCTTTCCTAAAAGACACTTTATAAAAATACATCGTAATTGAGTTTAATAATCTTCTCCCTTCCAGAAAGGGCCTGACAGCCGCTGCTTGCTGCTTACTTCTGCCCCATTCCGAATATTTTTACCTTATTTGGATGAAATGCATTATTTTTCTAATGAAAGGCTTTTTTTCAAAGGGCTGTTTCCCGGCCCAGCAGCTGGCTTTATTAGGCAGCACTCCTGCCGTTCTGGGGAGGGGTTTCTCTCCCTGACACCACGCCAGACTCTCTGTCCTCAAAAGCCGAATTCGGTGCTCAGGACCCACAGGGGCAAAAGGCCTCCGGGCCCAGGTTTCTGTCTGTTTCTGCTCCGCGCTTGAGCCTCAGCGATGTGCCAGCCCACTGACCCCCAGGTTGGAGAGCACTTGCCCTGTGAGGTCTCCATTGCCCCCACCCCAGGGATAGTGAAGCCCCAGGGAATCCCTTTCTTGGTGGCCCCAGCTCTCCAGGAAGAAATGGAGCCGGGCAGCTGGCAGTTCACTTCCACAGCACCGACCCCACAGCCCTGGCTTCCCTTCCTTCCCAGGGTATCTGCCCTCTGGTCTCCCTTTCTGGTCCCACTGGAGGAGGGACCTCTGAGAAGTTACAGACAATGGCTACCAGGCACCAAATGACAGGGGGCGGGGACTCCTCAGGAACAGATCCGCCCACAATGCAGGCCTGTGACCCAGCAGGTCCGAGGGTGGGACACAGGCAGTCACCGTCCCCAGAGCCAGGCCGAGGCCTGGCCCACCTGTCTGCCCGTCCCAGCTCCCAGACACTGGGACTCCTGGGGGCCTGGTAGGCAGGACCCCCGCGTCCAGGTGAGGTGGCAGCCCCTGGGAACTGAGACGCCTGCTTCTTCAGAGACGGCAAGGAGGCCAGGAAAGAAGGAGAACAAGCCACAGTGTGACACTGAACTGGGCTCTGCTTGTCCCTGGGGAACACGTGGCTGTAAACAGGAACTGCAGGAGTGTCCTTCTAGGTGACAAGCATGAAAGACGCAACTCACAGGCCAGAAACCAGATTGGGGTTGGACCCTCCAGCAGGTGGGTGCAGCCTGTTCCCGGGGACCCTCCAGTGGGCAGGTGCGGCCCGGTACTGGGGACCCTCCAGT